TGTCTCTGTTCAGAGGTCACCTGACCTGCATTGCTTCACTCAGTTTGTTTTGGTGTCTTTCTGGTTGGCTATAGTTCCATGAATTGTTGACAGGCAGGAAAAGGGCAAGCATTAGTACTTCAGATTTCTAAGATGTGATACTTATATGTTTGTTGTATATTTAACTGGTGTATAGGTCAAGACCAGCAGTTTTTCATCCTGGGGATTTTGGTTCCATGTGCATACTGCAAAGTTGTACAGATATATCAAAGTATAAGAGGGGAATACGTATGTCAAAATAAAGTAACACATTGCAACAGTTTGCAAAAAGGATTACAAGTGAGTCATTTCTCTGTATCACCACATTTCGGATTGAAAAGAGATGCAAACTGACAATGCTGTTGCTGCAGACCAGTGCTAATCAAAATGCAAATAGAGGTCAATCACTTCACTGTAGCTGCACAGCATCAAACTGTCAGAGCTCTGAATCTGTAGATTTAATGTCTTTTTTCAGGAATCAGGACAATAATGATTTTAAAAAGTCAGCATGTTATAAATTGTGATAATTGAAAATTGTTAATGACCTTTAAACTTAAATCTTTCACTCAACAGCACTCAACTCAACCTTGTATTCATTAAACTCATCAAACAACACATGGAGGACACTGTGTTAATATCAGACCTCAATTTATCAAGGGCACAACACATCAGTCACTAGGAAATTAAAACCTGTGTTGTTGAAATGGAAAATGGTTGCATAACTGCAGTGATCTTTGGATGCCCATATACAGAGTTGTATTCTGTTCACAATCCACATTGTTCAACAAGGAGAATGCAGATATTATTCTAACTTCATGTTGGGGAACATGTCAACTGTTGGGAACACAACAATGTATTTACAAACGTGTATTTTGATTTTAAATGGGCCACCCTCCATGTGTGCATCGATTCATCTTCATGCTTGACTTATATCCCAAAAAGTCAAACATCATCAATTTCAAATTGATGGATCCTGGAAACTACTTGAGTGCCTCAGGCAAATGTTTTCATACTTTGGTGAGATTTTACTCTGGCATGAGCAGTTAACTCTGTAGGGCCTCATTTAGACTGGTTTAGTCTCTGCATCATGTCCAGTAAAATATGTTTGTCTGGACTCCACATAGTTTATAGAAATATATAAGTGTGTGGATACAACAGCTTATCTTTGGACACATCTTTTACCACTTTTGGTCTATCCCTTACTGCAATTTGTGCAGTTTTATGCACAATACTTCCTGTTCAACTTATCTCACCATAGCTTACTTGAGAAACTGTGATCTGTCTGCTCCTTCTGTTTGTGCACACAAAATGGTTCCCCCTTGCGATCTAAAGAAACAGTACATATTGAAGCAGAGACACTGAATTTACATATTTTTTCTTCTCTTTCACATTGTGAAATGGGGTGTTAGCCTTGGTGGGTGCCCCTCTGGTTTAAGATTAAATCATATCATTGAGTTATACAGTGCATGTTTTAGTGAAATTGCTCTGAGTTGTTCAGCCAAAACCTTGCAGTTCAAGGTGCTAACATGAATGAAGATCGCTTTCTTATGAGTAATTCCTTGACATTGAGAGAAGAGTTTAATATTAACACATGAACACAAACAAGGATTCTGTATTAACAACAGAGTTACATTACATGCTGCAAACTGTGTTTATCTGCTGTGTATATGACAATAAACATCTTAAATCTTGAATTATTCAGTATCCATCCTTCCATGCTCATCATGGTGCTTCACTGATTTACATTTGGCTAAAAAAATGTGACAAGCATTTAATGGAACCTGGAGAACTGACAAATGACCGAAGAGCTTTTGCAAGACTTGGTTTACATGACGGCATTCTGTAGCAACTAGTTCTTGGCGGCATTGCGAAATACAGAGGAGAGTGCTTGTAGCTGTTCCTTTTGTCGCCTTTGGTACAATCAATGCTTATTTACTGTGTTTGTGAGACATAAGGCTTCCTGTGTCAGTGGAGGGCTTGTTATCTGTTAGTCATTCAAAGGTTGGTATTATCAGGACAAACGACTATAACCCATGTTATAGTGCTTCAGTAATTCTCTCTATCGTGACATTTATACCCAAAAAACAAACATTTAACTGTAAGACAAATACCTCCAGAGATCAACATCTATATATACCCACATCACTGTGCAGCTCAAAGGAATAATTATATATCTTGTGTTGTTGTATCTGTTTCCCCTTTTAACGCTGCCACTATCTTACTCATGCCCATGTGTGTTAATGAAATGACATGTTGTTGTATCCAGATAATAGTCCAAGTGATTCCTGAAGCGTTGTGAATGGCGCTGCAGTCAGAATATGTAATACATGGAGATTAAATGTGTCTTATCTTCCTTCTAATGTTGGCTTCATTGTGATTCTGAGATGAAACACCTCATATGGGAGTGAAGGACTCCTTTTGTTCTCCTTCACATTGACTTGACCATATTTTGCTCTGAACCTGAATCCATGTGGATCTTTGTCAGCTTGATTGATTTGGAATTTCAGATCTCCTATTTCTTCTCTTTGTTCGCACACATAGCATCATCGTCCTGATGGAAATATTTTCCTTCCCTTCTAAGCCCCCTGAGTAGTATTCACATGGGGAAAAGCATCTACTTGTCAGAGTGTTATTTAACAGGCCTAGCAGTCACTGGTGTCTGGAGGATTAAGACAATTCACCATAAAGGAGTGAAATGGTTTTAACATGAACTTAGAGATACATTTGGAGTGCATTACTTTTTTTAAAGGAACACTTGAGAGCAAATATCTTTTATAACCCATTAAAAACATATTACATGTATTGCTTAGACTTGTACCATTAAGCTACTGCCAGGAGACGTTAAGCTTAGCATAAACACTTGAAACACAACAGCTATGCTTGCTCTGGCCAAGGAACACAAACGCTTACCAGATCATTTTAAGTGGAGCACTACCAGTTTGGAGTGAAAAAATGTCTAATACATATAGATAGGGCAATATAAATTGGCAGGGATTCCTTAAGATGAAACCCTTATGACAAACTGAAGTAATTGATGCTTGCTATGTGGGGAAAAACTATATCAACAAAGAACTGAAAAATTCTGTTCCAGTGTTAGCAAGCTACTAGCTTCATATGTATCATTCAATTGTGAGAGAGCATCAATCTCCTCATCTAACTCATGGCATCAAAGCAAATGTCTGCATTTCCTAAAATGTTTTAAGGTGCAGTCCTACAGTGGGATGAAGCATGTGGCTTTCACTGCCTAGAAAACACAGAAGGCTTGAATCCTGTGCGCCTCCCCCAGGGGGTGACACCTACAGTACAGCAACACTACTCAACAGGAGACAAACATGCTACACATGTCATGTTAATGACGTTAACGTTCAGGCTACAGGGGCATCATGGCCTTTTCTTTTCTTCTTACACTTTGTTATTCAGTCTCTCCTTTCAGCATCAAATCTTTCGGCACTTAATACTTTGGAAATTTGGCATTAATGAAAAGTATTGTTTTAACAAGTCAGCTCAGATATTAGATTCCCTCTGAGCAGCAGCCGGTTGTTTGACCTGTGCAACTCAGTTGCGTAAGTACTTTGTTAGCTGTCAGCACCACTGCAGTACTTTCACAGCTAGTGACATTTTTTTAGCCGTCCCTGACTGCGATGTCCTCATGCCACAATGTTTCATGGGGTAGTGGCTGTTCAGTTACATAATATTGCTCATTGAGAAACTGATAATGGATCATGACACTTCTCACTCTAACCCCTTTCACTGTTACACACTCTAGTGGAGGGTGAGGGCACAAATTTCTTTGTTTGCTTTATTACTGCAAGAAGTTATTATTTTCATGATCAATGAATTTCCTTATGGTCATTGCAATTTCACAGAGCCAAATTTTTTTGCTTCGGCCTATATAGTATAGTAAGTGTAAATATATGGATTTGTCTAAATGCAGTCTACTTTCTACACCATGGTGATGTCTTCAATATACTCGTCTTCCCTGAGGGATAATTATCTACCAAATTCAATTATTACTTACTCTCCTGGGAATCTACTGGTGGACAACTAACCCTCGTGAGAATGACTTTACATTTTGCTTGAAAAATCCATATCAAAATAATTGAGGATTAATTTTAGACAATCAAGCTTGAGTGTTTTAGTAATAGTGTGTGTAAATATATTCTTGCCTATATTAATTTGAGAGAGAACTACTTCACATCATGTGCATTTGTCTTTAGCTCTGATAGAGATGGGAAATAGTAGTTATAAGCAATTATAAATGTATAAACAGCTACATTGTAATAACTCTTGTAATTTACACTCCAAAATGTTTTACTTGGACATTAATTTTAACGAGGTACGCCAGTGTAGCTCAATGTCAACTCGTGTTACAAATGATTTCTGTGTTTTCGTAACCTCACCACCTATGGGGTGTCTGGTTCTTGAGGTGTTGTAAATCAGACCTGAAAGTTGGTTTAGCCATGTCTTGCTGCTGCTATTACAGAGCGAGTCCTGTGTATGCAGCAGGGAGCCTCTGCCGTGTAGGAACAGAACATCAGTGTACAGTGTGTCACTGGATTTGTGGATGGCTGCCACATGCTGTATATAGCTGAGCTGGGGTCAAGTTTGACAGCTCTAATACACCCTGAACGCACTCAGTGTCTAATCCATAAAAGGCTTTACAATCAAAGCTGAGAATGACTGGACTGCCTATGTGTACTGCAGCTTTATTAAATATGAAATTTAAATATTTTTTTAAATTTCATTTGAGATTTTGCTTTGCCATGTCTGTGTACTCTTAGACCCTGATAATTGGGCTTGAAGTCAAAAACCAAAGATATCCAGAGACACGCAAAATTAAAATGCACTACATTTCATTACACACTGTTGCCCTGCTGAAGCAAGTCAGAACTCCCAGTGGTACATTTCCAGTTGTTATTGTTGCTTATCCTATCTGTCATCTGTTTCCATAATATGTGTTTTCTCCTTTTATATGATTCCAGATGCCCCCTCCACAGAGCAGCAGGAACTGTTCACCCAGAAACTCCAGCAGTGTTGCATGCTCTTTGACTTCTTTGACTCTGTGATGGACCTCAAGAGCAAGGAAATAAAGAGGGCGACACTCAACGAGCTCGTGGACTATGTTTCCACCAACAGAGGAGTGCTGGTGGAGTCCACGTACCCAGAGATCACTAATATGGTGAGGAAAATAAACTCAGCAACCACAGCCGCAGATAATTTGGTTTCATTTCATGTGCGAGTATTAAACTGCAAAGAAGTCTCCTCTCTGTGTCACTGTAGCATCACTGTGCAGGGTTAAAATCTGCTGATCGTGTGCGTAGACAGGGTGTGTCATGTCAGGTTTTGGGTTCACTGCATTAAGTGTTTTATGCTCATTACCAACTTTCTTCACAGTGTAAAATCATTATATGTCCATTTGAGATTTAGCCCAACATTTAACCTTAAGTGTTAGATTACCTCCACTAAGCTAATTCTAGTATCTGTCACACAGGACTACCTGTGGCTATTTCACAACAAAACCTGAACACACTTCTTTTTGCTGCTTGAGTACTTTTTCCAAACCTCCTTAGAAAACTCTGCAGCAACATTAATATTGCAGTTCATGTTGCAGCCTTAAGGTCAGAGATTTTACCTCCACACATCTTTTATGCTCAAGCTTCACCAGAAAGATTTCTACATTTCTGTGAAGATTTTAAGCACATACATTGTGAAAAAAAATTAGGTATATTGCTTGAGTGCCACAAAATGTTAAAATGTCAATTTAGATCCGAAATAATAATTAAAATCCTATATTCAGTCTCTTGTGTTGTCACATAATATTTATGGCTGTGAATGTTTCCATGACAACACATTTTACTGTAAGTGATGCAAGCGATTGCAAATGATTCATACCTGAAATTGTGGTTGTCATCCCCCTGTGGTGTGACTTCTATCATCGTCTATTGTGTATATGATAAACAGATTAGATTTAGATACATATATTATTTAGTTATATTTTCCTAATTTATTTCTGAAGATATACTGTACATGTATCTCAGTTTGCTGCTGCAGAATTCTTTAACACTCGACTATTTGTTTAACAATCCAACACCCTGCGGGGTGAGGTATCATTGGCCAGCATTATATAGATTTGTGTTTGTGTAGTAGGTGCCCTGAGCAGCCTAGCTTCCTCCTACAGTGTAATAATGACTCATGTGTAACATTTACAGCACAGCAGTCAGTACAGTAATCAGTGCTGCAGCGATTCACTCCACCCTGCAGATTATCACAGTGGAGACAATGAGCATGTATGTCCACAGATGAGTCGAGCAGTCTTTAGTTTACTGATGGGTGGTTTGATAAAATGGAGATCTATTTGGTATGACAATGATTTTAAAATGTATTAAGTTTCCATCTTTATGATTCTATGGGTTCTTTATGCAGCTGTCAGGGAGTTAAATTAGGAGTTTAATGGATCAATATGTGTCAAAACAGCTTGTTTTATGCTGTGTGAAGTGTATGTGTGTAATTACATTGGTCCTGAAACAGGTCATTTCCAATTTAAGATAACACTCATAAACAGTATCAGTACTTGGATGTAATATAGTATCTTGTCCAGGACACTTAACTCTGGCAGTGTAAGCTGTCATCAGGTACTGCTGCCATGGTGCGACCGCCGTTTTCATCAGGATAGAGAATGTAAATAAGACTTTGATGGCCAACAAACAAAGCGTTTGGTGTCAATGTTTAAACAGCGTCTGTGTTTAAAGCACAGTGTGTATTAGCAGTACTGTACCCTGTGGTTGTGCCAGTCTCACCCTTAAACCAAACACACTCACCAGGAGGAGATAGAGTAATTTTTATTTCTAGATAGTTTTGGCAGCAAATGACACCAGAATCTAAATAAATACCATCTTTCTCCCTTGTTTGATTGTAAAGCATAAAAAGGGCAATCAAAAATAGTCCACTCAAACAAAAGAAGCACAAAATTAAAGCCCTCTCTCTAGCCTACATGCTGATTCAACATGATTTAATGTTCATCATTTCTAAACACTGTGGAGCAGCAGAGTGGATTTTTCCTAAACATAAACATTGAAGCTTGAGCTAAATAATTAATGGATGTTGATGGGACGTTGTGCTCTGTCTGAAACATGGCATAATATTCTTTCCAATGTGCCGACACAGGCAGTAAACACTGGAGCAAATCCTTCCATGTCAGCACTCCACAAAGAAATAAACATCACACTAATGCAGTTATTCTATTTAATCACAGTGACCAGAAACAGATTTGCACTGAAGTTAGTTTATAGTTATGTCTTGAATACAAATTAATTTACATCTGTGTGTTCTACTGTATATAAAAACGGTTTTCACACCTTTTCTTTCATGACGAGGCAGAATAAGATTAACGACCTAAAACTGAAATGTAGTAATACTTGTTTCACAGCAGCAATAAGAGAGTAGAAATGTATATGAATTTAATAACATATTGGTTTAGATTAGTTGGATATTTTTTGGGGATTCACATTGAATAGATTTACCTTCCAGAAAGTGAAGCCAATGGCAGAAGTGCCTGAAACATGTATTCTCTCAAATGACCAGCAGAGGTTGACAAAGTTGGTTGCAGTGGTAGTCTATAAGAAAATGCATGACTCCGGCTTCTCCACATGTAAAAACGCCTGTCTTTTTTTATAATCTCACTCATCTATGTAGTCTATATGTTGGAGTGACATGGGTTGAGCTTTAGAGAAAACCCAGGCCAGGCTCCTGAATGAGGTTAGACAAACAGCAGCTGCACTTTCAGAAGGCTGGACTGATAATAGCTCTTGTGGACACTCCATGCTTGGCATCACATGATAATGAAGAGATGAGTACGGCCCATTATTCTGCTGCTGCGAGGCCTGCTTTGATCACTGTGGTATAAACAGCCAGGTTTCCTATCTATGTCAAAGAAGGTTTTGCCAACTCTATTATTAGTGTCACTATATATTTTAGTAAATCGCATCTTTCAGGGTTAGGTCAATCCAGATTGAATTCCTCCTTTGCCGTGTCAGTGATAGCTGTAAAAAGACAGCAGGTTTGGCCAAAAAGATAATAAATAAGCTACAATTCCCCTTTATGCACCTTAGTTGCCATTTTTTCATCCTTTGTGCCAATTCTACACTAAACGCTTTATCTCTCTCTATCCTACCATCTTCCCTCCATCCTTTCTCTCTCCTCCTGTGCGTTGCTAGGTGTTGGTTGTTGCTGGCGGCAAACTGACCTCACACAGATTTACAGCCTCCTGTGTCATCATTGAGCCCACGCTGGTTTCACTTACAGCACTGTCACTTATGAAAACAGCCCATTTTTGAATCCTCCTACATCATTTACACTCACTCACGCACACAAATCACTGTTTCCTTTTCCCCCCTCAGTGAAAATTTCTCACATGCCTCCCATGTTTGTCATCCTCCCACAATATTGTTTTGTGTTTTCTCTAACTGTAGTTATTTTTGGGATATTGTGAATTGACTGGAGGGACTTTAAGAAGCATGCTGAATGATAATATGGTAAATTATGTTCCCTGTTTATGCATAAACTGTGTCAATCAGTGATTTAAAAAAATTGATTAACTGCAAACCAGCAAAAACAGTAATACAAAACAAAGGTTATTCATCTGCGTCAATATTAGCATCTGCACTAATCTGCATGTTCTACAGATGACGTAAAGCCTTGACTGTGGTTTCAGAGGTTGGAAAATCTTACTTGAGGACTGTCGGTGCTCATTTACATCAGCAATAATTGTCACCACATTCTATCTAAAGGAAACACAACTTTAACTTGTGTATGACAGGCCCTAAACTCAACAAACCTATGCTAAGTCAGTGGGGGCTCAGATAAAAAACAACCAAGTATTATTGATAGTGAGAAGCATAATCATAAGGGACGAGAGAATTGAGGAGTTGTGTTGTGGGAATAATGCAGTTAAATGTTTATCAAACCCTACACTGGGCTTTATAGTACTCAGACTATGGAAAGTTTCCACTGCAGCAATGATCGGGTCTTTCATCATAACATTTTTAATGTTACTGCTTTCAAGTAATCCATCAGAAATGTTTACTCACCTTGTGTTGGAAGAAAAAGTGGAGCCAGGTTCATTTTTTTTGTCAGACAAATGTTCATCTGCATCACTGCTTCATCAAGGGACTGGCATAGGCCGCTAATACAGATATTGGACCCAACTGACTGAGCAGTGTTTAGGCCCAGGTCAGAGACTGTTGAAGTTATGGGAACCATAATCTGATCAAATGATAAGATGGTGACTAGATGTACTTGTGGGTGTGTGGTAAATGCTTATACAGTCTCATCGTGTAGTCGTCACCAAGTGCTCCTTAAATGCAAACAGCCAGACTCCATTGAGTGAAACACTCTGTAAATAAAAAACAGTAAATCATGCAGGTTCTGTTTCTGCTTGGCTAATGGAGGAGATGCTCGGTGTAAGCGAGTTTGAACATTTTACATGTACTTTTGCCAGATGGAATATTCATCGACTCAGAAACAGCTGCACCACCGTGTCAGACTTCTCATAATAACAGGAAGCTCACAAGCAGGCGGATAAGAGCTCAGCACAATAGCGTCTATGCACAGCTCATTCAGGCTTGAAGGAAATAGGCTGCAGATGAGACAAATGTCTGTCCACATATGCTAATTTTACTAACACCTCTATCATTGCTGCATCCTTCAACTCTGAGCGACATTTCCTTTTGTATAAAACTTTTGAAGTTGAGTCACAATGATGCGTCCTCTCTCATGAATACTATAAATATTGTTATTTTATTGATATCTGCGAAATCTAATGCACTGTCCATCCTAGGAGAGGGATGTCTTGTTTAACAGGTCTTTTTTGGTAGTTTCTTTTCACTCGAGTCGAGGGTGAAGGACAGAGAACGTCGCACCTTCTTAAGGCCTGTGAGGAAACAAATGATTTGTTAATATGGGCTATACAAATAATATGTAATTGATAGACACACATTTCTTTCAACTAATAGCAAGATAAGACTGTGGTAGTGATGTGAAAGTCGAAACTGGATCATCTGATGTCACCGCTTTTTCATACTGCAGTAACAGTCTTAAGGTTTTGCTAGAGCTTCAGCCAAAACAAGTCATGTAAAAATCTGCAGTAAATACATGGTACGATGCTGTCAAGTCAGAAGAGATATTCTCCACTGCAAAATGTGTCTGTGGGTTTTTATATCATATTTTGGGCGAATGTCAAGTTTAAAATTCCCCTGCTGCCTTCCTCTCCCATTACTGTCATTTGGATTTTCCAGCTGCCAATAGGTAATTTAATGTTGTCTTTATCACTTCAGCATGAGGCTGCACTCAATCACATAATGCCAGCTTTTCCTGCTCCCCACTGCTCTGTGTGTGTGTGTGTGTGTGTGTGTGTGTGTGTGTGTGTGGGTGTGAGAGAGAGAGAGAATAGAGGGGGAACTTGGCCAGGGAGGATCAGGGGCCTGGTTTCGCTCAGTGACGAGGGCCTGCC